AGAAGCTTTACAAACAAATTTGTTGAAGGTGCTGCCTGGTTCCTTCTTTATGCTTCTAATAAAATGTGAGGTACAGACATAAATTGAGGTAAGAACTGTTAAGCAAAAAGAACCAGAACTTGATAACTTGGGAAATTCTCTGCCTATCCAGATTGTGAAAGATGCTAACAATAGAAGATTCACTGTTAGGAAAGTGTGCGCTGGAGAAAAGACTAAGGACAATCTTTGACTAAAGCTGAAAAAATCAAGCATGTGACTCATGGACCAGAAACAGAGATGAGACTATCCTGCAAATATCTGTAGAGTAAATCTCCAGACATGTAAGATGGCCATAGGTTTTTGAGTGCATACCAGAGGAAACACTGAGATGGAATGAGAGAAAAAAATCTACAGGCAAGAACACACATTGATAAAACTACTCAGCTGCGAGCATATGCTATCCTTCAAGGAAAAAGAATAACTCTAAGATGGAGACTTTGGTCCAGAGGGAAGAGCGTCAGGCCACAGAGCATGATTTCTGGTCTTGAAACCTAATAGCATTTGGCTTGCTGACTTCTGAGATTGCTTTCAAACACTAACTCCTTTCTTACGTCCATTTTCTGTTCTTGGAATATGAATATCTATAATTATCATCCTATGCCGGTCCCACCACTGTATTATGGAAGCAAACTGTTTTCTAGTTTCACAGATCCACAGATAGAATTTTGCCCCAACGGGGATCATACCCAGAATCCCACCCATACCTGATTTATATGATGAGGTTTTGAACTTTGAGCTGATAATATTTAAATGAGATTTTGCACTACAGAGTTGATTCTGTAATGAGTTTAGACTTTGGGGGATGTTGGGATGGAATAAACTTATTTGGCAAGTGGAAACATTTGGGCAGGTGAGTAGTGTTAGGGTGAATAACAGCCCCTAAAAGATATCCATGTTCCATCCCTAGAATCTGTACTTTACTGGAGAAAAAAGGATTATACAGATGAAATTAAGTAAAGGACCCTGATATTAGGAGATTATCTAATTGGGCCCTAAATGCAATGATATATTTATAAGATGGAGGCAGAGAGAGAGAGAGTTTAGACAAAAAGGAGGAGGCAATGTGACCATATAAGCAGAGATGGGAGTGATGCAGCCACAAGCCAAAGATTGCTAAAAGCCTCAGGAATCTGGAAGAGGCAAGGAATAGAATCGGGCCCGAGGGCCGTAGTTTGCCCACGGCTGGTTTAGACAAAAAGGAGGAGGCAATGTGACCACATAAGCAGAGATAGGAGTGATGCAGCCACAAGCCAAAGATCGCTAAAAGCCTCAGGAATCTGGAAGAGGCAAGGAATAGATTTTCTAAAGCAAGCACAGCCCGGGCCAGACCTTGATTTCAGCCCAATAAAACTGATTTCTTGTTTATGGCTTCCAAAACTAAGAGAATAAGTTCTGTTGTTCTAAGCCACGTTTGTGGTAATTTGTTACCACAGGAAACAAATAGAGATCCGATTTAACCACAGATTGTTATCTAAATGCAAAAATAATGTTCCTTGAGCAACAGAAACCCTTTGACTGAACACATCGCAGTTTTTTAAAATAATATTTTCTTTTTCAATTACACTTGATGTGCAATATTATATTAGTTCCAGGTATACAAGCCAGTGAATTAGATATTTATGTAACTTATGAAGTGACCACTCCAATAAATCTAGTACCCATCTGACACCATACATACTTATCACAATATTACTGACTGTATTCCCTTGGCTATACTTTACATCCCCATGACTAGTCTCTAACGACCAATCTGTACTTCTTAACCCCATCTCCTTTTCACCCATCCCCTAACCCCTCTCCTATCTGGCAACAATCAAAAGTGCTCTGTATCGCCCTGGCTGGTTTGACTCAGTGAATAGAGCGTCGGCCTGTGGACTGAAAGGTCCCAGGTTCGATTCCAGTTGGGGGCATGTGCTGGGGTTGCCGGCTTGATCCCTCCCAGGGGGGGCATGCAGGAGGCAGCCAATCAATGATTCTTATCATTGATGTTTCTATCTCTCTATCCCTCTCCCTTCCTCTCTGAAATCAATAAAAATATACTTTAAAAAAAAGTGCTCTGTATCTATGAGTCTGTTTCTGGTCTGCTTGTTTATTTTGTGTGTGTTTTTGGATTCCACATAACAGTGAAATCATATGGTATTTTTCCCTGTCTGACTTATTTCACTCAACACAATACCCTCTAGGTCCATCCATGTTGTTGAATAGGGCAAGATTTCTTTCTTTTGTATGGCTGAGTCATATTCCACTGTATATATGCACCACTTCGTCTTTATCCATTCGTTTATTGATGAACACTCAATGTGGCTGTTCTGTAGTTTAGTTGTAATTTTGATGTAGTTGTGGGAGGATGCAAGGACCACATTTATCTATGTCACCATCTTGATCAGAAGCCCCCACATGGCAGTTTCTAATGACATTGATCAGGGCGACCTGTCAATTCTTATTAACATTTCATGAATAATAGATGTATGATACCTTTGTAAATCTGGACTTCAACACATCAGTAGCATCCACCACAATTTTGCAAAAAAATTCTCTCAAAGCATCCTGGCTACAGTGCCATAGTAGAGTGAGAAGAGAACGGTCTACAAATGCTTGGCGAGTGTTACTTGAAAGTAGGTCCTCCTTCCTGAACATTTTGTATACACTTTCCAGAAGGCTGGATTGTGTGGCACATGAACTCCTGAGAAAAAAAGAAAATTATATAAGCAGGTATGCTTTGAACAAATACTTAAGGAGTGCCTACTACACAATAAGCAAATTGCCAATGATTACAAATTAGAAAAAAACATTTAATGATCATATATATTTTTAAAAAGTAATAAAAAAGCATTTGTACATAAATCATATAATTTTACTCATACCAAGAAATCTTCATGACAAATTTAGGCATTAGGAAAAAGAATTTTTTTCATTTCCTCTCAAATCTGGTCTTTAGAGAACATCTAAAAGAATTTGAGCCCTAACCGGTTTGGCTCAGTGGATAGAGCATCAGCCTGCGGACTCAAGGGTCCCAGGTTCAATTCCGGTCAAGGGCATGTACCTTGGTTGTAGGCACATCCCCAGTAGGAAATGTGCAGGAGGCAGCTGATCGATGTTTCTAACACTCTATCCCCCTCCCTTCCTCTCTGTAAAAAATCAATAAAATATACTTTAAAAAATAAATAAATAAATAAATAAATAAATAAAAGAATTTGAGAAAATCTAGA